TTTTCCCTAAACAGTGTAAAATTTTGGAAAAAAATTTTCACGAACATTAATTGTCTCGCACAACGAGTCTGTGTGCAAAATGTCAGCTCGATTGGATCACGGGAAGTGGGTTAAAAAACGACCTAAAGATTTGCACGGTCGTAAGCAAGCAAGCACGCAAGCAAGCAAGCGAACTTAATATAAAGGATTTTAAAAAAAGACGAGATTTCTGGGAAACAATCGTGCGCAAGTAAACGCGTAGCCTCGGGAAGGAGGGCATTCGACCCTGACACGCGCCAAGTGCTTTGCTTATTGCCAGAGGGTGCCACATTGTCTCCCATTGAGCCATCGTATGGAAATATTTGATCCCGTCCATTCATCATCAGTGTGCCGATGGTGACTTGCTTTGTAGCGGCTTCACTCCGAGGCAGCACTTTAGAACAGCGTACTGACTTCTTACTCTGACAAGCAAACACGGCAGAGGGCACTATAATTGTTATGTAATTTAGTGACTGCTGCAAATTCTAAATGTACCCCAAAGCAATACTGTGAGGGAAGATTTATACCACTGGACTATTGCAATCAGTCATATCGGTTGGACATCCTGCGTATTAGTCTTCGCAGGCACTGCATACAATGCAAATATTGTTTTTATGAGAATGGATAGCTATAATAAGATTGTAACCGTATGATCACCGTATTTTATCAAGTATTAATATCTCTCGTGTTACGAGACACGACAGCGTGGATGTTCACACGTCGCGGCACCCAAAAATACACACAAATCGTTCACGCATTGGAATTGCACATCTTAATGATCAATTTCACTTTGTTGATCAATTGATTGCATAACGTCACGTGAAAGGAGCTTATTATCATTAATTTATTTTATTTGGTGGCCAGTGGGTTTTTTTTTGGGTGTACAATTTTTTTTTTGTACGGTATTTTAATAGACGGCACCGTTATCAGTGCGGCTATTTGACATCGTCGATATAAATCACCAGAAGGGGGGTGGTGGGAGGGTAAGATTCAGAAGTTCTCCCCAATATGCCTTAATCTGCACCTAAGCTGAGGATATTTAGAATATTTAGACCATTATGAACAGGCAATCCAGGGGGATCACATCTCTTAATCTGTTGTTGCTTCCATCCAGTCAGCCAGGAATAACATTGGCACAGGTCAATTAACCCTCGTAAATGGGGTAAAACATTATTGCTATCAAAAATCCCTCAGGGTGTGTGCAAGGCATGCATTGACCTTTACATTTATATTATACTGAGGTCACCTGAAGCCAAATATCGTAGGTTTGAGATGGATGTTAATGCTGTATCTACTACTTATTATGATGACATACATGTATTAGGCATTAGTAAAAATATATACATGGCAGGGTGTCCATAAAGATTTCATCAATGATTTCTCATCATGGTCATCACCATTAGCCATGATCAATATACTGCTGGACAGGGGCCTCCCCTAAGCCATCACCTGCTCATATGGTCCTGTGATGTAACAGTTCATCTCGTACCTGCACGTGAGCTGGTATCAAGGCGCTATCTCCATCCTTTGTATCCCCTCGACTCCGTTTTCTCCTTCGACTGCTACTCCATCATAAATCTCGACCATCGGCAAATATCCATTCTAGAGACCTGTCCCTCCCAAGCCCACTTTTTGGAACAGTGAATATGGTATCTCTAACCTTGTGTGGTTGTTCTCTAACACTGGTCAACAAAAACAAAAAAATATTTTTCTGGCCTGGACTTTTGCAGCTGTTTTAGACTAATTTCAGGGTGCTGATTCCAAATCTGATCTCAGATTTGCTCTATCACATCATTTGTATGCTATCGGCATACCCCATTTTCATTGATTTTACGCGAAATTAACTCTGTCAATTATGATTGCAAGTTGTTGCGAGTCAGTGACTGCTTTAGTGTTAAAATGTGGTGCTGTATTTTAGGATAGTGTGTTTATAATATCATTTTATGTAGATATCCACATTTATTTAATATTTTTCTTCTGCAGTTTTTATTGAAAATGCAATATTTGATATCTCAAAAACCTGATGTGATAGACAAAAACTGATGCCAGATTTGGAATCACCAAAATTACATTAAACCCGTTGGAATACCTTATGCCAGAAAAAGTGTGTTGACCATTGTAATCAATGCATTCCTCTTTCTGTCCTTCAGTGTTGTCCTCAATTCCAAAGCATGCACCTCTCTATGCTATCATGTGCACAGTTTTAGAAGAAAGCATTGCTCCTGGTTGCACATGTTAAAATTAATCATCGTAATTTACAGGCATTTTTCAATACACTGTTGGATGTTAAGCTCCCTGTGCATTGCAATTGATTGAGTGTGTTTGATCATACTTCACTGTGCTGGCCACTGTTGGTTAGTGAAAGATGGCCCAGGACCGGTTCAGTTATCACTTACCATTCACCTTAGCCATGGTGGGGAATCAAACCCACATCACCAGGTTGACAGTGCAGGGTATGGTGCACCGCACCAAGTGCCCTTGCTCCAATAACATTGCACCTGACAGAGCAACAGTGTGTGACATCGTAGTAGTGTTACGTCCCGTTATTATTATTATTATTGCAGAATTTTAATTCCAGTTTTTTTTTTAGTAATTTCTTGGCTGTCATCGTTGCGAGAATGCATCCTGATGCATTTATAAAAAAATCAGATCACAGGTCATGTTTATTATAATCACAACATTCGTGTACCGAGGCTCACAGTGACGAGTTACGAATTACTCCCACACCTGCCATAGAATAAGTGGCATTTCCATCTTAAAAGCATTAATCCCCAGCAGAAAGTGATTGAATGTGAAAGGAATAATTTTATATCCCCCCCCACCCCTTCCTCCCACCACCACCTCCTCCTGCCCCCATTTTTTATTTACAATATTGAAGTTTTGATTGCACAACAACAAGGATTTATCTCTGCTCAATGTTGGACGACGTTGCCATTAATGAGAGTTGATATACATTTCAAAATTAAAATAATCATATTTCGTAATTGAAATTATTGTAACGGCGGTTTCTTTGGTAGCTAGATAAAATAACAGTCATTGCTTTATATTTTAGGCCAATTAAGACAAATCCTACATTTAAAAGATGCCAAAAAGTGAATTGCAATAAAATATGATAAAAATACAAACTAGCAAGCCATTATATTGAGGGAGCCTCTGTTGTATTATACATGCATGCTTCCACCACCCACACACGTGAATCACTTCACACACTCACACCAATGTGCCTGGGTTCCAATTAGATTATTCAAATGTTTAAACTTTCTCAAAGTATTTTTTTTCGAAATCTGCCCAATTACTACACAGATCTCGATCAGCAATTATTGGTTTAAGGGTTTCGTAATAAAATACAATTATTGTTATTATATGGACTGACAGATTAGATGAAAATAGTATTTTCCACACATTGGAATAGGTAACCCATCGGCTCAACGCATGTGTGTGTATATATATTCCCAATTTTTTTACGATGTGAAAACCTGCCTAAAGTTATTGCCAGTTGAATTTTAATGTATGCCGGGCATGGTTGCATTCCATGCCTGCCATTCAGTGACTCAAAGGTGAGGTTGGTGAATCACATAAAGATCGCGGATGAGGCACCCACGCCAAAACGATGAGCTAGATATCACTCTTATTTCTGCGTAGATGTTCACCATTATGCTGAGTGTCTCTTTCATGTCTTTTGTGGTTTGTACCTCGTGGTTAATTTGTTCCCGGCGTAACGTCTGACATTTTGCTTCGCGTCCCTGAACCACACGCGTACAAGTCGATGACACATCAGGTGGGGTATCATTACGATGGAGTACACCGGCTTGGTCTCTGACATAGACGTGTGGCGTTTGAGGCCCCCCCCCCCACCCCCCATTAATTCCTCCCAACTTATTTCCTCCCAACTTGTAATCACAAGAAGGTGGGAATGGTCCAAACAACTCAGGCAGGGTTCCTATTAGGAACGTGACTCGAATATGTTTTAGGCTTTACTGGATAAACAAAGCAGTTGTTGTATTTTCATGCAATATCCCGAGCAGTGGACACGGATCCAACTGTGCACGTCGCAAATATGATCATTAATTAAAGTGATTATCAATCTAATTACATCATGATACAGATTCTCATCTTCAAGAAACAAGTGCCACACACAGCGCTAAATTAATCTTTTATTTTGGCGATGCACACGCACGTGCATTTTTTTCTTCTGCAAATATATATGCAAGCGAACATTCTCCCAGACAAGAATTATTCCCATTTTCTTCAAAGTTCCAGGGCGTCTAAATTGTGTTCCTGGCGTCATGCCATGAGACAAAGTATCCAATCGGATCTGTTACAGAGCTGTGCAACCCTTCGTATCGTGAATGGCTCCAGCCAGAGGAGATGGCAGAGCTACTTCTGAAACCCTTTCAAGTGGCCTTTGGTCCGCTCAGTAGAGGGTAGCACGTTCCCACCCACTGCTGTATGTGAGAGTAATAATCATTGCGTGAAAATTAAACCGATGTGTTTAATCCTGAGAGCTAGAATTTTGCCAATTTAAGTGCGTGAACAAATTGAACGTGATGGGCTTTTGTTCTATGCAGTCATTGGTTACCGGGCTGATACCATCAACTCACTACGCGAGAGAACCTGGTGTAATCACAGCCCGACCTACGTGTGTCTGTGGGTCTCTGTTCAAAAGGCCTCTCTATGACTCATTGGTGAGCGGGCCAAGATGACCACGACCTCACTACGCTCGCGAACCCCAGTCGAATCGCAGGCGTCCGAAATCTCGGATCAAACCGAGATTCTCAGCGGCGTGAGCTCGGCTCTCTGACCTCCGGGGCGGGGGCATCCTGGCACCGCATCCTTCCCTCGCGAACCAAATCTTGCTCCGCCACGACCAACCGCGGCTCTCTGGTGCGTTGTCTGCTGCCGCCCATCTGTCGTTCATCCCGTGCCCCCCGCGTGCCCCCCCCCCCCACCCCTGCCCCTCTCCTCCCGTCCACCGTCTGCAGATGAACGCGCTGCAGTGGGCGCGCGCCCCCCACGAGCCGCCGCCCGCGTCCGAGTGCAGCGTGCAGTGCGAGCCGGGCGAGAGGCGCCGGCAGCTCAAGGGCATCCCGTGCTGCTGGAGCTGCGAGCGTTGCGAGGGCTACACCTACCTGCACAAGGACTTCACCTGCAAGCTGTGCCCCTACCACCAGCGGCCCGACGCCAACCACACGGCCTGCTACCCCTTCCCGACCGTCAAGCTCGAGTGGCACTCGCCCTGGGCGGCAGTGCCCCTCTTCGTCGCCGTGCTGGGCATCCTGGCGACGTCGTTCGTGGCGGCGACGTTCGCCCGCTTCAACGACACGCCCATCGTGCGCGCGTCCGGCCGCGAGCTCAGCTACACGCTGCTCACGGGCATCTTCTTGTGCTACGTGGTCACGTTCCTGATGATCGCCGCACCGAGCGTGGCGCTTTGCACCCTGCGGCGCCTCTTCCTCGGCCTGGGAATGTGCATCAGCTACGCGGCGCTGCTCACCAAGACCAACCGCATCCACCGCATCTTCGAGCAGGGCAAGAAGTCGGTAGCGCCGCCGCGCTTTATCAGCCCCGCGTCGCAGCTCGTCATCGCGTTCAGCCTCATCTCGGTGCAGCTCTTGGGTGTGTTCGTGTGGTTCGGTGCCAACCCACCGCAGGTTTTTTGAATTTTTAAAGTTTCCTTTGCTTTGTTTGCTTGAACTGTTCATTGCTCTTCGACGCGGGCGTCTCGGTTAGTTGCCCCGTGTCTAGAATCGCTCTGGCGCGGGGAGCGACGATTTGATTGCGCACCTCGATTAATGGTGCGGATAAGGAGGCATGGAGTAACCTATCATAGGTGTTATTAGTTTGTTGGAAAGTTGGAAACTCATCCTTTGGCTGTAGCCCCTTGGCAAGTGATGGAAATTACACACGGCCAAAGCAGAAACCAGTCTCCCGATAGAAATGCCGTTTTTAATATTTCATAAAGGGCTACTCATTTCGAGTGAGCACGGATGAATTATAAGTTATGCCAACTGCTGAGCAGGATTTAAACTCTTTACAGCACTGTAATCGCAGTGCTATCTCACAGGATCACGTCTATTCTGTTGCCAGGAAAATGCTATTGCAGGTCAGAATAAAATTTCAAGAATTAAAGTACGTCATGAAACAGGCACTTTTGTTTGGCCTCCAAATAGATAAATCTATCAATTCGACTATGCAATCTATGTAGTCATGTTTTAAAATTGCAAATTTGTCTGCTAACAATACCGGGTAAAGTCAAGCTGAATGTGTTAATATTTTCCATGCCTTTATTGAAATAATGACATATTTGTTAAATAAATTGTGCTTTTCACTACGTTATTGTAACAATGCTTTGCATACAGATGGTTTTATGGTGAAAAAATATTTTAAACCGGACCCACATATTTGTTGTTAGCAGACATCCGTCTGCGTGTGTTTAATGTCTCAGGTGATGCTTTGGTGGTATCGCCATGACACCATTTAATATTGCTAAATCCACAAAAAATATATCTCGAAAATGTTTCCTATGATGTTTAAAACAACGAGTGCTTATTATTCTGGCATTAATGCATAATTACAGTAGATGACACTTGCTGCTAAGCACTTCCGTGCTCAAATTTAGGAAACTGCAAATTAAATCATTACATAATAAAACTCATAAATAAAACACAGTACTATCAATAATTGCATGATTAGTGATTCACAAACCGTTGGCTGCGCAGTTTTCACGATACCCCGTTTATGTGGCTCCCCACCATAAATTTGCGCTAAAAAATACAAATCCGTGCAGGCGTACGTGCCCCAAACAATGGCAACACCGGGGTTGTGCACCCATGGCTGATACAAACGAATGTCTACTTCTCCGACGTGTTCTTGGGTCGTGCCGCGTGCTGTTGGGAATTACGCCCGGCGTCACACTACGACACATGGGTGAGCTTTCCCCCCGGCTAACTCCGGCTTTCTCCCACTTTGGCCGGCCTACGGTCAGGGGGGGCCCAACCAATTAGCTTCACGAACCGGCAACACCGACAGCAATCCGAGGGGGATATTTGTATTTTTTCTGAAGAAAATCCCGGCACACGGAAGTGTCGGGACGTCATGCCGAACGGCACGCGGTAACAAATCGAAAATGCTTCGGTAGAGTCGCGCATCTCAAGCGCGTAGTTACAAGCGACGGACTTTCGGAAACGGTCTATCCTCCTTCGGAATACGTTTCTCCGCTAAGCTTGCGTCTCTTCGCTTTGTTCACCGCGTGGAATGGCAGGTGTTCATCAACGAACAGCGCACGATTGACCCCAGGGAGGCCCACTGGGTGCTCCAGTGCGACATCTCGGACCTGGCGCTCATCTGCTCGCTGGGCTACAGCATCCTGCTCATGGTCACGTGCACCGTCTACGCCATCAAGACCCGCGGCGTGCCCGAGGGGTTCAACGAGGCGAAGCCCATCGGCTTCACCATGTACACCACCTGCATCATCTGGCTCATCTTCATCCCCATCTTCTTTGGCACGTCGCAGTCCGTCAACAAGGTGGGCATCGGATGCTCGCCGTGTGGCTATGAGCGACCGTCTGTTGTGTCTCCCCGATGTCATTTTTCACAACGCGATGTGATTATCGCGATCTCAAGTTTCCCGTGATTTTGTAATTGTAACGATGAAAAGGTGCAGCCCTGCGACGATTTACTCACGCCACTGCCGCTGAAATAGCCTCCACTGGAGGGAATTCTAGAAAGCCCCTCTGGAGGGTATTTGGTCTACTCTTCTTAGCTGGGGAGATATTTTGGAAGAAGTTTCAGTACCCGCACTTTACCACTTCACACGTAATCAGCTGATCGACTGTAATTATATTTTGCATTCTCATGCGTCCATGGATGGAATTTCTTTCCAGCTCAGACCCCGCTTGCTTGCCCATCACCACATATATAATAACCTCTTGTTGTAACAGCTCTCTCGCTGGTTCAGCAGTTCCTCTGCTGGATTATTTTATCCACCTGAGCACGACCGCTTGTGTTGCCATCGAAACGTCGTGATATATTATTTTTATTTTGTTTTATTTTTCTACCTACGTGACTGTACCGAAATAACCAAAGAGTAAGGATTCCTGCAGTCACAAAAGCTTTAAATCAAGATTATTCTCATTATCGTTTTATTGTTTTTGTGATTTGCTGTACTTTCAGTATGAATCGATCTTTCTTAAAAGTTCTAAATCTGCAGTTCTCTCGACACTAATTATGTAAACTTTATTATCTATAACACCTAGATTGCACATGATCTAAATGATACAATAAATACATTTAACGATGAAACTGACAATGTCATATAACCTCCATGCTGTCAATTACTCCATAAAATGTTTTCTAATCCACTCATATAATTTGAAATGGCACTCATGTTTACGTGGAACTTCAATAAATCTGTTATTTTGTAAGTATTTGGTAAGTAATTTTTTTTTTAAATAACAATGACAATTATAATATAACAATATTTTACAAGCCATACAATTACGATACACAGTTTGTTGTCCTTCCCCCGCACCTACGATTGTCACGTTCGGCTGCATACGGTGCGAAAGAAGTTCAACGTGCATAGGTACTTCGCGATACCGTGGCAAACCGTAGGCATCGCCGCCGTAATAATTCATCGAGTCACACGTCTTTTCGCATCTGTGTAAATTGCGCTCCGTGTGCGAGCATGCCGAGCGTCATGGGGCCAGATTCACGTCACGACGAAGGTCGCCTCGGTGATTTGCCGCATTGTCGATGATCGAGACGTCAAACGTTTTTCACGCAAAAAGCGTCGGACAAAACAAACACCCAGCACAAGATGCTGGGTCAGTGTCTTGTGCTGCTCATCCAAGCAACGGGGTGACACTCATCCCGGCTAAGAGCGCCGAACTATTCGTGGAAATGCCACGTCCCATGGCATGACGTCACCACCGCAAAATCGCCCGCCTGTGTGCCCGCTAGCTGGCAAAACTTTATGTATATATAAATATATAATGCAGTATGATGAAACAAACTTGGGTTAGGCCACACCCACCCAACAACCAAAAAAAATACATTTTAAGAGTGCAAACATGTATTGTTTCAGCTCACCGTGAATTTGAAGAACATTTTTCACAACCATATGTGGGAGTGAGATACAGCGTTTTGTTTGAAACTACGTCAAACATCATCAGGACGAGATCCAGGAAGTGGGACTAAAAATCCAGAGAGCCAGAATGAGGGAATGTATCCTGGGTTGACTCGTGACTGGGATTTGAAGTCAGAATCTTTTCCGTGTGAGCTAAGTACTCTAACCACCACATCCTCATCATACAACATAGTATATGCATGCCCACTGCATATGTGTGTAAACATGTGTCTTGGAACACGTCATGTTAAAATGTGTTCATTCTCTATCACTATTCCTATTTTCGGTGCCTGGAAACTGTCGGTACGCTGAGTGTAATGTGCATGATTAGTATATTCCCTCCTGTGCCTATTCATTATCATCAGGCCTGCCAACAGAGTTATTGTCGCGATCACTACTCGCGAGGTTCTACTTAGACTTGACCTCAAGTCTCTTAAGTCTTAAAACTCGATAAGTAAAGAGCACATGTGCTATTTTCATTGCAGCTGTAATGTAGCAATCAATCATGTGCAATATCGCCTAAAATCGAATTAATCAAAGTCTTAACTTTTTTAGCACGTCAGAGTTCTTTCGAATTCATTGTACGTTTTTTTTTTAAACTGGATACCTGAATGCATAATTTACACAGGGATTGCAATAATATTTTAAGCTGCGTGTAATTTTTTACATTTAAAATTCAAAGTATAAGAAGCCCAATGCTACGGAGCGACAATTGGCAATGGTATAATTGAAGCGACAGTCCAAATGCGTAGCAGGCTGCAGACAGGCAGCAGAACAATGTAAAAGATTCAAGTTAGACATTTCTAACGCGAGGCAACAGAGGCGAGTCGTAACTGGTGCCGACAATTGCCCAAGCTCTGAGGCCCTATATGTTGGGATGTTTTTTGTTGTTGTTGTTGCCATCACCATTAACATGTGAGAGGAATTTCGATTTGAAGCTTTCGTGACCGCAGGGATTCATCTTCTTGGTTCTTTCGGTAAAGTCACGTAGAAGGGAAATAATAAAATAATAAAAATAAAACATAATAAAATTTCGATTTAAAGCTTTCGTGACTGCAGGGATTCATCTTCTTGGTTCTTTCGGTAAAGTCACGTAGAAGGGAAATAATAAAATAACAAAAATAAAACATAATAAAATTTCGATTTAAAGCTTTCGTGACTGCAGGGATTCATCTTCTTGGTTCTTTCGGTAAAGTCACGTAGAAGGGAAATAATAAAATAATAAAAATAAAACATAATAAAATTTCGATTTAAAGCTTTCGTGACTGCAGGGATTCATCTTCGTGGTTCTTTCGGTAAAGTCACGTAGAAGGGAAATAATAAAATAATAAAAATAAAACATAATAAAATTTCGATTTAAAGCTTTCGTGACTGCAGGGATTCATCTTCTTGGTTCTTTCGGTAAAGTCACGTAGAAGGGAAATAATAAAATAACAAAAATAAAACATAATAAAATTTCGATTTAAAGCTTTCGTGACTGCAGGGATTCATCTTCTTGGTTCTTTCGGTAAAGTCACGTAGAAGGGAAATAATAAAATAATAAAAATAAAACATAATAAAATTTCGATTTAAAGCTTTCGTGACTGCAGGGATTCATCTTCTTGGTTCTTTCGGTAAAGTCACGTAGAAGGGAAATAATAAAATAATAAAAATAAAACATAATAAAATTTCGATTTAAAGCTTTCGTGACTGCAGGGATTCATCTTCTTGGTTCTTTCGGTAAAGTCACGTAGAAGGGAAATAATAAAATAATAAAAATAAAACATAATAAAATTTCGATTTCAAGCTTTCGTGACCGCAGGGATTCATCTTCTTGGTTCTTTCGGTAAAGTCACGTAGAAGGGAAATAATAAAATAATAAAAATAAAACATAATAAAATTTCGATTTAAAGCTTTCGTGACCGCAGGGATTCATCTTCTTGGTTCTTTCGGTAAAGTCACGTAGAAGGGAAATAATAAAATAATAAAAATAAAACATAATAAAATTTCGATTTAAAGCTTTCGTGACTGCAGGGATTCATCTTCTTGGTTCTTTCGGTAAAGTCACGTAGAAGGGAAATAATAAAATAATAAAAATAAAACATAATAAAATTTCGATTTAAAGCTTTCGTGACTGCAGGGATTCATCTTCTTGGTTCTTTCGGTAAAGTCACGTAGAAGGGAAATAATAAAATAATAAAAATAAAACATAATAAAATTTCGATTTAAAGCTTTCGTGACTGCAGGGATTCATCTTCTTGGTTCTTTCGGTAAAGTCACGTAGAAGGGAAATAATAAAATAATAAAAATAAAACATAATAAAATTTCGATTTAAAGCTTTCGTGACTGCAGGGATTCATCTTCTTGGTTCTTTCGGTAAAGTCACGTAGAAGGGAAATAATAAAATAATAAAAATAAAACATAATAAAATTTCGATTTAAAGCTTTCGTGACTGCAGGGATTCATCTTCTTGGTTCTTTCGGTAAAGTCACGTAGAAGGGAAATAATAAAATAATAAAAATAAAACATAATAAAATTTCGATTTAAAGCTTTCGTGACCGCAGGGATTCATCTTCTTGGTTCTTTCGGTAAAGTCACGTAGAAGGGAAATAATAAAATAATAAAAATAAAACATAATAAAATTTCGATTTAAAGCTTTCGTGACCGCAGGGATTCATCTTCTTGGTTCTTTCGGTAAAGTCACGTAGAAGGGAAATAATAAAATAATAAAAATAAAACATAATAAAATTTCGATTTAAAGCTTTCGTGACCGCAGGGATTCATCTTCTTGGTTCTTTCGGTAAAGTCACGTAGAAGGGAAATAATAAAATAATAAAAATAAAACATAATAAAATTTCGATTTAAAGCTTTCGTGACCGCAGGGATTCATCTTCTTGGTTCTTTCGGTAAAGTCACGTAGAAGGGAAATAATAAAATAATAAAAATAAAACATAATAAAATAATTATCACGACGTTTCGGCCACAACACAAGCAGCCGTCCTCAGGTGAAGAACACGTCTGTCGGAAAGACAGCGTCTGAATGAACACCACCAGGCTTGGCAGCGTATATTTAAGCTGGGTTTGAGGAGAAAGAGCGCCTTGACAAAGGAATTTGCATATCAAGAGGAATTTAGCATATTTATGGAAAATGCAGATATGGGATTAGTCACTACTTGTGGAATGCGTAGGAGGTGAGCGGGGGGTTTCAAAGTCATATTATGCCCGTGCATTATGCAGGATTAGCAGCATTATTATGTTTTATTTTACTTATTTTATTATTTCCCTTCTACGTGATTTTACCGAAAGAACCAAGAAGATGTGAGAGGAAGCCTGAGTACCTGGAGAAAACCCACGTGTGCGACAGGGGAGGAGGGGGAGGAGGGGGAAGAGGGGGAGGAGGGGGGGGGGGCAGCAATCTC